TGTAAGGAGTCGCACAGACCAAGCTACATAACTGTAACATAAATGTAGAGTGCCTAGATCAGTCCCAAGGACTCCCAGATTGTTGGTTCAGTCTCTATGAGCCCAGGTTAGTTGATTCTGTGAGTTTTCTTGTGCTCTCCTTGTCCCCTCTTGCTCCTACAATCCTTTCTCCTCCTCTTCAGCAGGATTCCCTTAGCTCTGCCTAATATTTGCCCGTGGGTCTGCATCTGTTTGCATCAGCTGCTGGATGAAGAAGCCTCTCTGGTGACAATTGGGCTAAGCACTCAAGATCTATGAGTATAGCAGAGCATGAGGCATAATTACATTGATATTGTTTTCTTCTTTTCCTCTTATTGTGTTTGGTGTTATCCCAGGTCTCTGGGTCATCTACCTGGGGGGGGGGGTCCGGTACTCCAGGCAGTGTCAGGGGTAGGGTTATAGTTGTTGGATTTTTACTCTTTTGTTCTTTTTGGCTCTTTTGGGGGTTTTGCCACCCAGTTTGCAAATAAATCACACATGGAGGCTTATTATTACTTATAAATGCCTGGCATTAGCTTGTCTTGTTTCTTGCCAGCTTTTCTTAACTTAAATTAACTTGTCTACCTTTTGCCTCTAGACTTTTGTCTTTCTCTATTTCTGTATACCTTACTTTCATTCTTATTCCATGACTGGCTGTGTGGCTGACCCCAGTGTCCTCTCCTTGTTCCATTGTTGCTCCTCTGTTTTCTCGTTTCTCCTATTTATACTCTCTGCCTTCCAGCCCCACCTAGCCTTTCGTCTCCTGCCTTGCTAGTGACCGTTCAGGTCTTTATTAGATGATCAAGTATTTCAGATTGCAAAGAATCACAGCTTCACAGAATTAAACAAATGCAGCATAAACAAAAGCAACACATCTTTACATCGTTAAACCCATGTTCCAGAGCATAAACAAATGTAACACACCTTAAAATAATATTCTACAACATAGGCTTACTCTCCTGGCACGGGTTTTAGGCTAGACCAGTCATTGGTTGGCTATTTCTTCAATCTCTAGGTCATCCTAATCCCAGAATATCCCATAGGCAGGACAGACTGTAGGTTGAATGTTATGTGGCTGGGTTGGTTTCCCACTCTCTCCATTTGAAGTCTTGTCTGGTCATAGGAGATGGCCAGTTCAGGCTACTTTTCAGTATCCACTATTGCTAAGAGTCTTAAAAGGGGGTCATCCTTGTAGTGGCCCGGGTTTTTACCTGACCCTGAAATGTTCCCCCCTCCCCCAACCCCCTGTCCCCGTTTCCAGTAGTCTCTTTCAGTACTCTCCTCCTCTGAATCTCCCATCTGATCTTTCATGTTCTCATCCCTACCAACAGTCCACGCAGAACTCTCTTCTATTTTCCCTTCCCAGGAAGATCTAGGTGTCCCCCTTGAAACCTCCTTGCTACCTAGTCCCTTTGGGTTTGTGGATTGTAGCATGTTTATCTTTTACTTTGCAGCTAATATCCACTTATGAGTGAGTGAATACCATGTTTCTTTTTCTGGGTCTGGCTTACTCAGGATGATTTTTTTTCTGGTTCCATCCATTTGCCTTTGAATTTCATGATGTCATTGCTTTTTAACAGCTGAGTAATACTCCATTGTGTAAATATACTACATTTTCTTTATCCATCCTTTGGTTGAGGGACATCTAGGTTGTTTCCAGGTTCTAGCTACTACAAATAAAATTATATTAGCATATTTCATTTAGAAGGACTATTTTCCTATGCTCACACAACTAGTAGTTAGTATAACTGGTTATTAAGAAACATTACTCAAGTCAAACACCTATCCTTTCCAGGTAGCAACCCTCAGTGCCATAATACAGCTCAAGCACGTGCATGGGTGCATGTGTGCATGTGTGCTTGTGTGTGTGTGTGTGTGTGTGTGTGTGTGTGTGTGTATGTGTGTGTGTTAAAAACAGAGAAAAACTACCCAGATCTGTGTAATCCAGTCAGGATTCTAACATCAGACTTCTGGAGGTCAATATCAGTTCCTAGCTCTGTGATCTAAAGCATAGTCCAGCATTTTGGGGAATTTGAGGAAGAACACAAGAAGTTAATCAAACCACATCCACAATTGAGAATGAGAATAGGTGAATGAATCCTTGCTTGCTTGTAGCTACCTTTTCCCACTCATACAGTTCAGGACACAGCCTAGGGAATTGGTCTGCCTATGGTGGGCTGGGTCTTCAGTAGTTAACAATGGAGGCAATCTCTTACAGACATGCCTACAGACCAACCTGAAGTAAATAATTACTCAGTGGAGATTGTCTGATCAAGTGATCCTAGGTTTTGCTGACCATAAAAACTAACCATTACAAGGGATTACTTATTTTATATGGCAGGTCATCTAAGAGTAACACTAAAGATTAACCAATAAACTTATGTATTGTGACACATATCAGAAAGTCTAGAGATAGTTTAGAGGATTAAGGAGTCCAGGAAGGAACAATATTTTTCCTTTTTTTTGCATCTTTCTATTCAGTGGTGAGAAAGTAGGAGGAGGAAGAGAAAGAGAAAGAACAAGGATGAGAGAGAGGAGGAGGAGGAGGGGGAGAGGTAATGTAAATATGAGAAATTTCCCCCAGAAGCACCCAATCTTCACCTTATTGGTTAAATTTGGCTCCCTTATGTACCCTCTTCACCAGTTACAGATAAAGGTCAATGGATGAAAATACAATTATTATAATTGGTTTCATAATTCATTCACTAAGTGTGGTTGCCAGCTAAACAATTTAGGGTTTGCTTTTAAGATGGAATGGGTAGAGACGCTGACAGAAAGGATTCCATTATGGAGTGTCTGAGAAGTGTTCAGTTCAGTGTGTTGGCCTGAGGTTCCTCTAGAGTCCATTTTATGGAATAGCCAAGGTCAGTCTTGACTTCCTAAGGCACTCCAACGGGTAAAGCTTTCTGCTCAATAATTATTTCAGTGGGTGATGAAATAATTGATGGAGAAACAAGAAAAGGAAAGACCAGCCTGGAGCAGAACAACACAGTAGGGGGTGTTGTAAGGATAACTGAGAAAGTCTGGGGTCCTGGCAGCAGAGACTTATTGCAGTCTTTCACAATAAAGAGCAATGTGAACATGAGAGCGTTGCCTCCTGTGAGGTAACTAGTGGGTCAAGGCCATTGCTTTGAAGGCCTACGGGCATCAGGTTCCTGTTGTACTTTGACAATGCAGGAGCAGAATGAAACAAGACGGTCTTCTAATGCATTTGTGTGTGTGTGTGTGTGTGTGTGTGTGTGTGTGTGTGTGTGTGTGTGTGTGTGTATGTGTGTGTGTGTGCGCACTCGTGCTCTCCAAGAACAAGACAAGGCCTCCAATGATGACAGGAATTAGGGATCTCAATTATGATAGTTCCAAGAACATCGCTGGTGATCTATCTTATCTATCATAATCAATTTGTCATCTTGGAATTCATACCAGGATTCTCCATGTATCAGGCAAGCCATCTAGCACTGGGATGTGCCCTCCTTATCCTTTCAGGTATATTTGGTAGTCTTTTGAATGGGTTTATAAGCTTTGGCCCACAGAGAACTAGGAACTGAGCACACAGAGAAAAAAGATTGACGATGATGTTTCTAGTGTACCATGGTATAGGTGTGTAGGTCAGAGGGCAACTTTGGGAAATCACTTCTCTCCTTCTACCATGTGGAGTTGGGGATAGAACTCCAGCCATCAGGCTTGCTGGCAAGTGCTGTGACTTCCTAACCACATCACCAGAGCTTCTTCATATTGTTTCTTCTTTTCTAAAATTGGCCTTTATGGTAATCTGTATTGTAATAAAATTCGCTCATTTTCTGTGTCTTGCCCCATGAGGTTTGACAAATGTAAACACAGACACAGAATGTTTCCATCATTCTCAAAAGGTCCCTGTTTGTCTTTTATGCCAATCTTTGCCCACCCCTGGCCACAGGCACCTACCTGATCTACTTTCTGTCACCACAGAATACCTTGCCTATTCTTCATCCTGTTGTTCACTCTTGCCTGGCTTGGCTCACTAAGCTTAAACTTTGTACACTCATGGGTATGTTCTTGAGCGTCTGTCCCTTCTCATCATGGGATAGTATTCTAGTTTAGGGAACACATGTACACACTGAAGTTTGTTTCTCTAGTCAGTTGCCTTTAACGTTGCTGGCCAAGTCTGTGTGAGTGTGTTTTCGGTTCTCTTGAGCAAAAACTTAGAAGTAGAATTTCTAGATTGTGTAATAAGTAAACGTTTATAAGAAATCACTTTCTAAAGTGGGTTTATCACTTTATGCCCCACCCTCTACCCCTGTGATGGATGAAGGTTCCAGTTGTTCCCCACCCTCCCAAACACTTGACATTATCAACATTGGGAGTGAAGACACACACTCAGACACCTGTGTTTCTATATGTACCCCCCCCCCCCCCCCGCCATGCCTCCCGGCGCCCCACACCTTTCATCTTCCTTGGGAAATAAAAGCTGTGTTTGTCCCCAGATGAACTTTTAATTTTCAAAACACTGTTTTCGGGCAATCCAGACTAGCACGTTGCCAACTTTCTGGCGGGGCGAGGTTTCTATGGAGTTCTCGCTCTAAACCTCTAAACAGCTTCTCCTCTACATAAATAGTAACCCTCTCTTCCAAAAGACTGGAGAGCCCCAGCGAGAAGAAAAGCCGAGGGCTCTCTCCTCATTTCTCTCCAACGTCCTTCTTTTCTTTTGTTATATGTTTAGGATCTGATAAGGCACCACCCAGGCTCGCGCCCAGGTTCCCCGAAAAGCCCCGGGAACATCAGTGCTGGCAAAGGCACGGGGCATGCTCAGAGGGCGCGTGGCGCAGGCGTCGGCTG